TATATATACATATATATATATGCATCTTTTTGTGACTTGGAAGATCTACCCTTCATTGGCTACACTGCATGATTCTATTGCATTCCATTTTCAACAGTTTGATTGTTTTTTCAGACGTCGCTTATTTCGGTAAGTAGGCTGCTTGTTCCGAGGCTTACCACCGAGTGAAAAATAAATACTTGATTTAATCGAGAATTCTTTATAAGCTGAAAGCTCTTTCAATTTTGTCCCCAAATTTTTTTGTAAATTCAAGTGTATGCGTTCCTAATCCGAGGAATGTCCATCCGTCAACGTTTACTGGTGTCTGATCGGGTGTTCCGTGATTGACTCACCAAGGTTCACTGAGTAACTTTCCCTAAACTTCATCCGCTGATATAGTTTCGAAACACCGTCTGGCTTCAGCGGAAATCCTTGGTAGATAATAGTAGACTTATTCGTCCATTTTCACTGGGTGTTGCATTACAGTATGTAGAGGGTGAACTGAGCCGACCGTTTTGAAAACGTTTTTGAATATTTCTCATGGTATGAATGAAAAGCTGGTTCTCAATTGATGGAATCGTCACATCTTCTGAAATTCCATTGACAGATAAACTAACTTGCTTTTGATGTTCCCGATACGGAACTTTGAGTGGCGCGCAGGTTCGACAATCCCGAATATCAAAACAAATATTTGGGTTCGTAAGCAAATGTGTACAACAAACCTCAATCGTTCACTCTCGTAGCGCCAAAAGTTCACAGGTCTGTCACTGACGGGACATGCAGTGTCAGCTTCCGCACACCAGACAACGGCGAGTGGAATGATGTCTCAGTAGCGTGGGTTGCGGTCGTTTGTTCCGACGACGGTCTCGTAATTCCCATGGGACGTGTAGTAACACGGAACTCATTGGAAAACAAGTAGAGGCAGGTTCAGCAAACCGGAAATGAACACACATGGGAAAGTAGGTCAGCTGCGCGCCTTCACACACAGACACACACGTCAATACACAAACGTCGGGAAGGATGGACTCTGCAGCAAGGTGAATGGCAGGTAAGAATAAGCTAAACCACTGGAGATCAAACTACATAGGCGGAGTAAGCAAATGAGTGGGGGAATCATCATAGGCAAATTAAGCTTCAACATTCCTCACCATAATTCCCATGAATTACTATGCGACAGGATGGGGTAAAATGGAACACTCATCATGGTATACTGAGTACAGTGTCTTGAGTAAGTAAATGCGAGAAGGTAGCATGAGTATCATCTGCTGGGTTCTGAGTATATATTCAGCAGGCAAACACCAATATGCAAATTGTGGAAACATTGCCTTGTAGGTGAGTATTCCCGGACAATGCTCAAAGTTGTTATGATGTAGTCCGCGAGTGACCTTCCGAACTAAGTCAAGTCGTATAGCACACGCACAAATTGAAAAGCTGTTGAGCCTTGTTTCGAAAAGACTTTTCCAGGCTAGCAACTCCACGAACCTGGAGCACTGTGTAGAAACTGTCTGGAAGTGAATAACACCCATATGTGTCACTTCCACTGACGGATAAACGGGCTCGCCATAGAACCCTGCCACCATGGTGGGTGGAACGGTCTGCCCACAGGCGGTTAGTGGAACGCACCCCAGAAACCCGTAGTGCGAATGAGCACCAATGTCTTCTGACGAATGCTTGCTGTCCATTTATATTTCAGCGCACTCCAATGAACCGTTGACTGACCGATAACCGTCCTCTTGTGAGGCGACTTCTTCATCCTCAGTTACCGGAGCGCACCCCGCGTAACAATAGACATGTCGGTTGTGATCCACTTCTGAGGCGATGGGAACAGCCAATTGGTAAGTGACACAAGGAACTTTCGTTTATCCCCATGTCTCTGTCTAGTGAATTGCCTTCTCCGATGCAAGTCCTCATCCTCCTCGTCAAATTAAACAAAGCACAACCGAAATCTTTGGATCATAGTGGGAGAAGCCAAGAGCCAGGAATGAGGCCATGTGAGCGACAGGTACGAATAAGTAACATAAATGGAGATCAAATTTACATAGGCGGAGTAAGCAGACGAATAGGGGAATAATCAGAAATCAAATTATATTCGTCACTTGCTGTGTGAAGTTATCCTTTTTTTCTTGAGCAATTTCTCGAGATTCAGTGACAGATAAAATTAACTAACAAGATAAGGGAAATAAGATATTTTCCTAATGACTGATAGACCAGGTCGTTTTCGGTGCGAAGGCAGACAGGTTATGAAGCATGCTTCTTTTCCTTTCTTCCTCATTCAGTATTTGAGCGCCTCAGCACTCTTGCACATGCCATCATACGATGATAACAGAGGTGAGCAAGACGTAAATTGAAACGTAAATTTTAACCTAGAACTTTGGAGGAGGTGCGCATGCTAACCCACACCAGTGATGTCTCTCCTGTACGTAAAAGACGCTTGGAAGCTTAACATCACGACTGGAGAAGCGACCAACCACAATCTGATTAAATTGTTTGCCTCATAAGTGTGATAGTGATTTCAGCAATTTTAGCATGTAAGATCAATTGGCTTGTAGAATATATATATATATATATATTTATATGGAGAGACAGAGCCTTGCATCATCATGTTGCAGGTTCACGGTTTGCAACGTACAGCCTCTGAACATCCCCTTTCAATTCACGGAGAATCACTGAAAGTTTTGAAGACCTGTACACACAACGGTAGTTGTATCGAGTCTGAGGAAAACGCGCCTGACAAAGCCATTGCAAGAATCCTAATAATTAGTGTTACGTTTTCTAACGTGCTTTACTTTTGGCTTCAAAATTGCATATTATCGGGTCTCGAAGTTCACACGTACATTACCGCTGTAAGCTCATGGATGACGAATGGTAGTCAGGCCTGGCATCAGCAGAGGAAATCTCTACGACGTCCTTAGTTGTTTGAGCACTGATGCTCCAGATGCGTTTCTGGTTTCGAATAGCAAGCAATAAGGAAACAATTTGCTGTTCATTCAATTATATTGCTAATTCAAGTGCTAAAAATCCAAAAACATCATCTACAGTGGTTAAGCCATGTGCTACGCATGACCAGATACATTTAACCCAGACGGGTTTGGTTCTTCGTGTTTTCTTCTGAACGGCGCATATGTGATGTGGACAGCATGTAACTTGCCCAAATAGTGTGCTTGCTTTTGGTGCGAGACGCCTTCCAGAAGGAAGTTCCCTCTCGCGTTATGGTGCATGCGTTGAAAGCTATTGTTGGTAAGCAGTGGAACTGAATTTTGTGCTGTCAGTTTCTTCGAAAATGGCCTTATCGCGCACTGTAAGGTGCATGTGTAATTTGGTCCGCAACAATTTTCAATTTTGCCAGTATACGTTCACAACGTTGAATTGTTGTAGGACAAGAATCCAGGTAATATCATCATTCGTTTGGCGCATGCGTCGATCCGATGATGAGGTTTCTTTCGCAACTTGTGGGGAACAATGGGCATGAGGTCAGACTAATTCAAAGACTAAGTCGGTTGACATGAACTAAAACTGGAAAACCACGCGGGTGGCCTTGAGAAGTTGAGTAAATGGTCGGAGTCACAACGAGCAAAAGTGGAGGTGGAGGCGGGATTATTCGAATTGGGAGAACATAGCAGGTTTAGTCTCAAAAATATGGTGCAGTCTGAGAACAAGCAGACTCACTGGTTACACTGTTGTAGGAAAGTTAAGTGCTGGGTTTGGGTTGGATGAGGACACAAAGGTGGTTGTGTTCGAGTGAGAAGTCCAACAGGTTGGAATGAATGTCGTGGTTGTGGGTGAGGTCAATGAATCGCATAGACAAGTGGGCTCGTTTGGGAGGAGAAGTGGATCAGTTGCGGGTGTGCTATCAAACTGAGTATGGCAGTGCCGTGCCTTCATAGGCCTGACATGCTTCAGTTTTTGGACAGCCCCGTGATGGACTTCGCATTTGACATCATTCGGCTGGGGTGTGTACTTCATTGGGCAGCAGTATTCACTTCAGCCTGGTCGAGGGAACTAGTTGGAACGAAAACGATATGGGATTGTAGGTTTTCTTGGTCCGCTTGGTGATCCCGGGGTTGTAGATCATAGGCCAGGTGGAGAGATCAGCTAAGCGGGTCGTCCGAAGCAAGCACTTCCGAATTTCAAAGCTTGGGGAGATGATGGGATGGGAGGAGATTTGTAAAACATGGTAAATTTGTGGGATAACATGCATAACTTGACGCCTGCTGCAATTAGGGTGATGGCAAGTGATTGTATGGAGTAGGAAATAGATAGATTTGTACTTAGGAGGCTAGCGACCAAGGGATGAGTTTGCTAACATACGAAATTACATTGCAAGGGATCTAGTAAAAGCCGATAAAAGCGCGTAGAGGCGTGGTATGGGAATCAGCTGCATAAAAACTGGCGGGAGTGGACTTCTAAAATAGCTGGCTGATCTGGTGTTTATTACATGAGTTGGGTTATACCAGGAGAGAAAGTATGTGCGAGAGAAATAGTCACTAGCCTCCAAATCATGTTGCTTAGTTTATTGATTTCGTGGTCTGGATATTCCACTCTCTCCAATGATGCCACCGATGTAATCAACGATAAACAGGCAAACAAAGAATGCCGATCCATCATGTTACTCCTGGTCGTTTCAGACATTTTGAGCAAAAACGTAGAAACCTCGAGTATTTGGTCATTAGTAAGGAATGAAAAAATTAAGCAACAAAGAAGCATACAATTGGCGGTTCAGCCCGTCCGTGGAGGATTAATAACTGGAAATTATTGCTTGTATGATTTATTTTCATAGATCGCTCGATATATCTCGCGCTTGGTAGTACACTAAACAAGTGGAACTGGTTCTCCGCCTTTGGAGTCAAACATAGTCCATCAAGGCATTATACGTTTCCAG